GAGAGCCTCCTTTCAGTATAAGGTCTACGAGATGAGTCTGAAGAGTTAGACGGTGCCCAGCGACCACTCCTGACTTTAGGCAGGAACTGCTTTTAGTCTTTTGGTGGGGGGTGGGGTGGTGTGGTGTAGGGGTGGTGGTTTGAGAACTCTAAAGCCAAAGCAAACAAAAGAACACAAGTCTGTTGCTTTGAGGTTGACCCCAGCTGTTGACAAGCCCATATGTTACAGGATAGAACGATTCCACCTGATGGTCTTGCCTGGAACCTTTACAAGAGAAAACTTCCAGGTCTTTCTCCCACAGAGGCACTGCGTGCATTCCAACGATCAAGTGTTAGGTTGGTAGTTCCGTAGATTTGAGTTTTCCCACTTGGAGTCGGTTATGAGGTCGGATTCGCCGTGCTGAATGCTCGGCGTTTGCGCCTATGTGAGAGAAGGGCGCCAGATGGCGCTGTTGGACAAGCGTTGAACTGTTAACCGCAAGGGCTGAGTCAACCTACCAGCTGCTGCGACTCGGGAGAAGGGTGAAGCTCTCCGCTCCCTTACAGATGAGCAGGCTGGAAACTCTTTGAGGGTCTCTACGAGCAGGAATTGACTCAGCGGAGGTGGATGGTGGACATGTTAAAAACCTTGTTTTGTGTTTCTATGAAGCAAACAAAATTATTCAGTGCCTCTGAGAAAAGAACTTGTCTCTTTTTAATTTGTTTTCTTTTGCTCTGCACTCTTTTTCATGAAAAAAAAAAAAAAATAAGACCGGTAGTGGAACGCTTTTTCATGCAATGCATATAGTCCATTTATTAGAGAAATTGTATGTATTGATAATTATGGTCAGTGGTCACATCTGTGGATTAATTCTTTAAAACTCAGAGCTAATAATTCGGATAGATTCTGTGCTCCCTTCATTGCATCGCGACGTGTCTCGAGTAGTCGCATCTTCTGTTGCTGGAATGATCGCTTAGACAAAGGTCCAGGAAATCAGAAGATACAAACGAACGCCAGCCACATGCTCCCTTCCTTCCGCAGCCAACTCAGAGTGAGAGGAAGTCTTGCCACCTGGCTTCTGAGGAGCATTCTGGCTGTACTTCTTCCAGACCGAGTTACTTGGTCTTCTGGCAGTACATGGAACATTGAATATTTTTTCCAGGCTCATCCAAAGACAT